TATTCATAACTATATATTAGCATTTCTTTATATTTCTTTCTTAACTAAAATGACTAAAACTGAAATAAAATGTAATAAAAAAAAATAAATAAATAAAAAAAATATATATATAATCTATGTATTTTTTTATTAAAAATATATATATATATATATATATAAACAAAACTACGAATGACAAAAAAACCTGCAAAATTACTGATTCAAATATTAATAAAAAACTGTAGTAGTATCTCAATGATCCTAAAATCACACTAAATACTACAAATACTAGATGCTGAAATTGTCAGGGTGAGTAGAAATGGACTGGATCAGCAGAGAACAATCCAGAAAAGCTCTTTCTGTAGCACAGGGTGTGTTTTGGGTGTATTGACTGGCTCTGCTGTGTTGTTCCAGCGGACTCCACCGGCTCTCACTCGCTCTACACCACCTATAAAGACTATGAGCTGATGTTCCACGTGTCCACACTCCTGCCCTACACTCCCAACAACAGACAGCAGGTGCGTCTCAACTACACTTACACTCCTTATGCTAATCAGCTCTGCTGTGATTGGCTAATGGCTTCACATTCGGCCTTCTGATCAGCCTGATGGGATTTATTGTGTAATAATGACTGTACATGGTATTAACCATGATATGTCCTCTTTATCAGATACTAACATTGTCTGGCAGTCACTTTTGGCCCACAGCCATTATTTATTTAGTTAGTTAGTTAGTTAGTTATAAGCCCCATGCTCTTTGGTATGTTCTCAAATCATGCTGAAGAACATGATCATCAGGTTTTGATATTAATATACAGTAGTTGATGTAGTACTTCCCAATATATTTTAAATCTGAATATGTATTTATAAATTAAAATATATATTTATTAATCTAAGTATGTGAAAGTAAATATGAATATGGAAGTATTTATATTATTATTTCTTCCCTCTTTTTAACAATATGTTATATGTTGAAAGATATGTTAGTCTATCAAATGCATTAACTTCAGCTGCGTGTGTCTTGACTGGAGCCGTGTCGCTGTCACTTACATCTCTTGACAGTCGATTGGCAGGATTAGAGGATTTTCTGTCTTTTTCTTCTCCAACTTCAATTCTATTCGATTGCGCAGGATTAGTGAATAAATCCCTGTCCGTAAGCTTCCAGAAGACTCGGGCACAGTTCAGCCTCTCATCTTCTCATCCACCCATAATCCTGTTTGTAACCCTTGGCCACTCACAGGAAGGCAGGCTCGGGGTTAATTGAATATTATGAGTTTCTCACTCCGTTGCCTTATCAAATATCTTTGAGATATGAAGGGCTGACTGTGCTAAAAATCTCTCCAGATTCTGATATTGTACTTATGGATGAGCTTAAGAGATTTTAAGTAGTCTTTCACAGCGTCTGCAGGCTTCTTTTGTGCCATTTATTGTGCCAAAATTATGCCAGATGGCACATTGCTGCCGATTATTTGAGGTTTTTTATGTATTAATAGCTCTTATATTTTTAATCTGTTTCTTTTTGCTGTGAAAATTTTTTTTTTTTTGGCTTTTGATTTGGAGGACAAACATATTTTTAGCAACACAAAATTATTATAATTATTATTAGTAGTAGTAGAAGTAGTGTTAGTATTAGTATTATAGCTTTTTATTTATTTATTTTACTCTCATTTTGCGCTTGGCAAGTGTTAATTTTGCACTATTTTAGCAACATAAAATTATTTTTGTTGTTATTATTATAATAATAATAATAATAATAATAAATGTAATTTATTTTCAGAATTTTAGCTATTATTATTATTATTAGTAGTAGTAGTAGTAGTAGAGTTTTTAATAATTTTTTCACTATTTCTAACAACCTAAAATAAATAATAAGATTAATAAGAATAATTATTATATATATATATA